CTTACAACCACTTTCAGTATTTAAGTCCCGCAACAATATCCAATGGTCGACGGTAAGTTCTTTTCGCAATTTTAGGCCACGTGAAGCGATGACAGTAAGCAAGACAGTCCCAGTAACTTTGTGTGAAATCCTTATTGCAACAAAATCTTCCTATAGAAGAACTCTTAAGGGTCTAGAAGACTTGAGTGTGCACTAAGACCGGTTTGCGGGATCAGCATTTTGTGCTAACGTTTTGTGTTTTTTGTTAAGAACGGTGCAAGCAAGTACGGCAAGTCATTGTCTCTTTCCACATCGCACTATGTTCGTTTTCATCGATTTACAAAATGCAAGTGTGGGTTAGTTGTAACCATAGATTTTCTTAAAATTTTGATCTACTTTGCGTTCAATTTTTTTAAGAAATCCTGTTCAGGTCGTTATATTTCACACGTGGCATCATCAAGACATGAAAGCTTGTCCATTTCACTACAAATGGTTTGAGTAGATTTAAAATGAGAAAGAAAATTTGATTCTTCCACGTCTAAAACTGAATAGAATTATTAAATGAAGCCAGATACACAACACTAGAGCCAGCCAGTGAAGATCGAACCAGGCGAAAGTCCTTGAGTCGAACTAAGGATTCAACGTTCACCAAGGCGTGTTCTTGTAGGTATACTACGAAAATGACCAGTGTTGGTCACCATAGTCCTCTTGAACACGCAACTGCAAATCGAATGGCAGGAGAATGGTACATCAAGCCAAGTTACTTCTAAAATAGAACAATGCATGATGGATTGATCAGCTTAGAACTGTTGACAATAGTGACTTTGATTTTAGGTCTTCAAAGGTCCAATTAGATTTCTGTCATTACTGACATTAATTCAAGATAGTGACATATAAAGTCAAATAAGAAATTGCAATAAAAAAGGCATGATGGGTTAGAGGAAGGAGATGCAAATCTTTGAAATTGAGGAATGGAGATCCAAGGCGGCTTGCAATGACGGTAGGCAATTCGTCAGCTGAAGTCCCTGAGTGTGCGCGTGCTTTCAAATTGACTAGTCTCGATTGGGGGTGCCAGCGGATTGCGGCTGCGAAGTCGTTGCTTGAGGACTATAGGGACCTTTAGTCCTAAGTAATCCTAGTACGAGAGGCATCCTCTTCTCTGCATATTGATGGAAGCACTTAACCTGTCTCAAAGACTACGAACCGTCTGCTGGTAATATAATTAAGGATAGCCTGAACAACCAGCCTACCTTTGAAGTGTCCTTTTTTTATTTTAAAACTCAAATTATTTCTAATTTAAATGATAAACATTTAATTACTTAAAATCTAGTTATTGATTGTCAGAGAATTAGGATGCAGAAGTAAATTTATAGTTTCGCCTTTTGAAATTCTTGCATCACCTTTTTAAAATTATCTCTAGTTAAGGACTGCTTCTACACACTTTCTCATTGAGGTTGAGCATGAATGTTCCGCATTGCTGACAGCCAGTTTGACACTTACATAAACGGACGCTAAGTCCCACCTAGGGAATGAACCAAACGTTTTGTGAATAAGTTCCTCATCAGCGCAATATCGCTCTGCTACTTTCATTGTAGGTTTGTCAGAATCAATAGATGCTACTGAATGCCGTTCTTCCCACCTCGGTAATTGTGCATGGCCCGCATACGATGATGCCTTTTGAGTTGTGCGCTACCAACCCGCATTTCCTCTTCACTCGAGTCTGAAAATGGACAATTGGAGGGTGATCGATGAGTCGTAGAGTCGTAGAGACTCGAATGTACTTATTGTGCTCTTTAAACCTGTTTTCAATAACTATATCTCAAGTGATTATGGATCCAAAATTTATATTGTTGCACCCCAGAAAAGTCTCTAACAACGATTAGGTAATTTGCCTGCGCATCCAAATTTTGTACGCTACGGCCAGCTACTGCCAAACCTCAAAAGACTGGCTCCATCCTCTTTAAGACATTGGCTGTAAAAAACAGCGACTACCCTTGCACCATCTTTTATGGTAATGTTGTAGATCGCTTCCAACAAAAGACAATCGATCGACTAATTAGGCAGCAGTACGTGTTTGCTGCCGACACAGTCATATCATCCTCTGTCTTAGCTTTAGTGGATTAAGAATCATATAAAAGTACCACCTTTCACCTTCTAGGGTGGGCCTTGATGATTCCAGATTCCACAGAAGTTACACTGCCAAAGATTTTAACGTGCTGCCGAGTTAACTAAACTGTTGGTGTCTTATTATCGGAATATCCAGACTTCATAAATAAAATGGTTCCTCTTAACCATGATTTCGCTTGAATAAAAGTTTCGAGAACGGCCTATATACTCTAAATAGTCCTCACATTACAATGGAGGAAGGGCAAGGAAATAAGTCATGACAAAGGTTAGCAGAATCGTGAAATCATGGGGGACCATTTGGCATAACCTTAACTGCACTTTCATCTGCCAAGCCAGACAGCCTGACACTTTGTTTCGAGCCGCACATGATTGGCGGAATTCAAAATCACCTGTTTACTTGCTTGCAGCTCCGCCTTTGGCTAATGAATATGCATTAAATAGGCGCCTTTTATGCTAGCTGATAGCTGTGCAGTCGGTCTACCCTGGTGAAACTGCCTGCTGCAGAGCTCTCATTGGTGCGTTGCCACCCGTGATGCGGGCTTTACCTGTGCTCACTCCAGTACTTGAAGAACGCGCACCTTAAGCCTACACTTCCGAGGACTCAACACACCGCTTCGACGCTCGCTCCTGGACACACAGTAAGAAAGAGTGTGATCTGTGTTGTGTTCTTCTACTATTTCTATTTTTATGAAACAACTTTTCTAAACATTAGAAGCAGCAGTTTTCGGGCATTAGCGTAGGAACCTTAACCACTATCACTATCCTAGGGCATTTATTACTGCAATATCTTGAAAAAAAGTTTCTTTTTTTTCAATTTTACTCAAAAACACTAGTCTTCATTTAATGCTGTGTAATTAATCCAGCACTTTTAAAACCAAAAGGGCTGTACTTCGTCCTAAAAGTCTCCAAAACTCAAACTGGTTGTAATCAACGTCATAATCCTTTATATAACATGTTGCTAACACTCAGTTCCTGCAGTTCCTATAATTATATCCAATAGGAAAGATAAATTGGCATTTTAAATCTAAGCTGAAAACATTCACGGTTGCTGGAATTACCTTTTTTTCTCACAACTCACGGCTATTGGTACTGGATAACATACACGCTCTTGCGCATCGTGGCTATGGCACACTGAATTTAGCTACCGGTTTAAGCAGTACTGACTGATCTACCAGCATTTCCTAGAATAAAAAAAGAAGATTACTTTTGCCCTGCTTGCAGTTACAATTTAATCAAAATTCTTGCATGTAGAGAAGTCGGATTCGTTTTTAGTGTTGGTAAATGATGCGTTAGTTGAATTGAAGAAAATGCGGTTAGCATTCGATTGCCATTTTTATTGAATGGCTTTAATTAATTTGCCTTCACACATCCAAGGTGTCTGTTCAATCACAAAGGGATTGCAAAGGTGTTTAGTTGAACATGTCGCTTTTTTGTAATGCATGTATTTATTTACCTCCATGTACCTTTTAGCTAAACCATGTCAGTAAAGTGCGATGTTAATGGGAAACCCTGCAACCCAACCCTCAAACCCTATCCAGGCTTCAACCCGGCCTCTGATGTTGAACTTCTCAAAAAAGCTATGGATGGATTGGGTGAGTTTTGACCAAACTAGATCACTGACTCTAGTTGTCTAACCTTAATACTATTCATCCTTTCGAATGTTGGTCTGGTTTCTTCAGAAAAGGAAGCCAGCTGGTGCCTGGTTCAATTTACAAATGCGCACTTCATGAATTAAGGGTGCTGGACGCGTTTTGTAGTTCTGTACAAAGTTGCAAGGTGAAACACCCTGTTCACGTTACCATGGCAGCAAAGCGGTACGAAGTAGTGGGAGTGTGCACATTTGGCCAGGTTCCTTCATTCTACAAAGTAGTTTAGGCCATGATGACTGCTGTCCTTCAAGTGCTCTTCACCCATTCAAGCGACAGCCAAAGTCATCAACGTATCAGACACAGGGCCTTGCCCTCAAAGTGCAAACAAACTTACCTCAAGTCTATATTTTCGATTAGCCAAACTTAGACAGAAAAAGCGACTTCTGAAAAATGCGAATACAAATCCCAAGTCATACAAATAGGTGCCAAAATGCATGATGGTTTGCTTTCTTTAGACTTAACGGCGCTTGAAGCACTCGAACTGCCAGTAACTCACATCATCAGCGTTTCGAAAACTATACTACTGTCAGTGCCATCGTTTTAGTAAAGATCATTTTGGATTGTACTCTTAAATTGAATTGCACTCATGGCCATCTTTGTAGTTCTCAAAGGGCCCTCACAAACCATGAAGGGTCTAATGCGATTAAGATCAAGAAGTCCAATCACTTATTCCCATCATCTTGAATGTAGAAAATCATCTTCGATACTAGTTTACGTGAAGCGGCTGTCGAGGTGGATATTACCGCAAACAGGGCTTATATTTTTGGCGACTTGTGGATAGTCCTAATTTACCTCATGCTTCATCACCATGTTGACTTGGGAACAAAAGTGATTTAATTAAATCGCAGACAAGGCCTCTAACTTGTTTGCTAAGCGTTGGTGCTAAATGCAAATTTAAGTGGCTTGGTGAGTGATTGAAGCAAAACAAGTATAATAATTAATTCTTACGAATGGTTTGCTTCTTCACCGAATGTAGGGAACATTAGAGTCCGTCGCTTTATTACAATTTAGCACATGCAGTTGGACCACCATTACATCACTCGAGCAACCATATTGGCCCGGGTTTTTGATGTTGATAATTAGAGGTAACCGTCTTTTGGTTTGACCTTGGATGGAGCAACTAAAGAGGTGGCATCCATTTGCGTACATGGGTATTTTGGATTGGTAGGTAACTTTTATGAGAAAAAAGCCACGACTATGGGATGAGATTAGCGTGTGCCTGTGATTGCGGGGCACGAGACCTTAAAAGTGCCTAATTGATGTCACTATTTCTGGTATTAAAATTGAGGCAGTAATCCAAGGGAATGTGTTAGTACACTTGCTGATAAATCCGAATGCTCCAATCAGAACCCAACTCTCCGACAACGTTCCATACTTGGTTCATGCCTGACTGTACAATTATAGCAACGAGAATTTTTGCCTCAATTGCACCCAGATATATTCCACAATGCTTCATAAGGTTTGCGAGGGATGCTCACAGATGATCATAACATAATGAAACATTTCAGGCACGGATGAAGCCATGATAATCGAGGTTCTTGGAAACCGAACTAGCAATCAGCGGATTCAAATCGCTGAAGCTTACAAAGCATCGTACGGTGAGGTAAGCTTGGGACTCAACCATCTGCTAACTGTATCTCAGGCCGTTAGATGCACTGCTTAGATAATTTCTTTTGTACTCTTTTAAATCATCCAACGAATTAACACGCAGACTCCACCTTAAAGGGCTACAATTTCTCCTCACACCCAGGTTAAGAAAAAACACATTTTTAAAGTCCGTTAGAAACTTAACTAGCAACTCGTTTTCGACATTGGTAACAAGGGTTAGATTCTCGAAAACCGAGATTAGATTAAATTGATAGTAAACTTACGATGCTGAACTCGTACCTAGTCATCTGTGGCTTTTAATGGTTTCAAACAGGTCTGACAAAAACACTATGGCCTACACACTCCGTAAAGCACTCAAAAATAAACCTTTGAGTGTCGCTTCGTGTTCTCGCCATCAGAAATCACCACTGGCTCATTACATCGCATTGTCAAATTGACGAAACGATTAGGCTTATTATCCCCACATTTGTCGTCAAGATTAGACATTGTTTTACTCTCGTCACTCATTGTTTTCATGGAGCATCTCACTTTCTCTGCTTTCCAAAGGACCTGAGGGAAAGACTGCAAGGGGAGCTGAGTGGTGACTTCGGCGAGTTGGTTGATCTGATGTTCTTCACGATTCCACAACTGAAGGCCTACATCTGCTATAAGGCCATTAAGGGAGCTGGGACTGATGAACTGGCCCTCATCGAAGTCATCTGCACTTCGACTAACGCCGAAATTCAGGAACTCAAAAGCGAATACGCAAGAAGTAAGTAATGTCTTGCCAGCGGATGTCCAACACACTATGAAATGATCGCTTGAGTCAGTAAAATAACTAAAACACTCGATATGCCTAATGTCAAGTGATTAAGACCTTAAATATTTTCATGCTTAAATGAGGCAGAGTAGAATAGTGTTGATAATTTTGTATGGATATTACACACTACTTAAATTGTCACATCCGTAGCTATCAGGGACATCCATGAAGCTGCATTGAAGTTGTTCCCTTGTCGAAACGGCAAGAGAAGAATTGGTCCGGATATCAGTGAAATGGCTCTTTGCCAAAAACTGCTAATTGAACTTTTTCAACTAATAAAAAGCCATTTAATTGATCCCGGCTCATTGCAGATAAATTACTGCAAAAAATCTCAAAACGAAAAAAGAAATTAAAAAACTCATTGTGTTCTGTTTGAAAGGCCCCTATCCTAACAGGTTGTATTGCTTTCTTTTTTAGTGCGCCAGCTCCATGGAAAACAAGGTAGGTTGTACAAATTTTGCATTGAAATCTCAAAGCTCTATCAAAACGACTACGGAAAACGCTTGTCGCAGACTTTGTTAGTGCAGGTGTGCGTCATCGGTGATTCGATGATCAAAAAGGTTTTGTAGGATTTGTAGGGATATTTCTTAAATACCCAAAGATCTTTAAGTAATTAGCTAAATTTCTGAACCCTGGAAAACCAGTAGCCCGCCTTATTGCTTACCTGCGTTATTAATCGCCCCCAACTGTCCATTTCCCACCTCGAGTGAAGAAAAATTTGCTGGTCATTAATGTGGATTGCTTAAGTTGGGTTACTCGTACAGGTGCCGAACTTAACTAAGACGCAGAAAAATGAGCAGTTGGAAGCATCTTGTGATGCTGACAGACTCACTAATGGAGCTGCGAGACGTTGTGCCAGGAAGGCATTTATTTACAAAGCGTTTGGTTGAGTTATGAAGTAGATTGAAGCCACCGGGTATCTAGGTGTCTGGATGATTGTCAATCCTGTTAGACATCCCAGTTCGTCCTCTAGATGTAACTGTTTTTATAAACAAGTTGTTTTTGAATGCAAGACTCCGTGACACGATGTTCTTTTGAATCTGTCCACAAAGTTAGCTTGCATGACATTTCTGCAGCATTGTAAATGACTGATGTTTGGTACCCAAATTAATTTCCAAAACTTAGTTCGAAAACTGATTTGTTTGACCACAGCGGTAGCGGCAGGAATTAAAAACGTTTTCAAAACTATTGTCAAGACGTATGAAAGAGTTTAGAATTAACGACTTGAAAAATGGCCTTTTGTTTCGACCGCTTTCCTGTGTTGTCAAATCCAAACTATTTTTGCTTAACGTTTGCTTTTACGCAGGCACAGAGAATAGTTTGGAGGAGGACGTAGCCGGAGACACAAGCGGCTACTTCAAGCGCATCCTAATTGCGCTGCTGGCAGCTCAGCGTCCTGAACCAACTGAGCAGCAGTTGCGCGACATCATGAACAAAGGCATTGAAGGGCTTGTCGACCGAAGAGCAGCTGAAGCTGATGCACAGAAACTCTACGATGCTGGTGAAAAGTAAGTAATGGCAAGAACCTCACGGCATGTCACGTGGTGGTCGCATCAATGCCGATTTGCCCGCAAGGTTACAAGTAGGTATATCCTTGGCTACGATCTTCTAGTGCTGAACAAGTCACTTTTATCTAAAGCACATGTAGGTAAACAGAGCTCAAGGGTAAAATCAATCCTAGAGTATTTTGCATAGGCGACATTAGTTAACCATAGATCTGCGAATGATCGACTGACGCAGAGAGCTTGATTTGGGTTTCCTATTGCCCTTCTAGTGCAGCAAGCATCGTGCTACCCTCTCGTACAAAAATTGAGCTTACCTAGCAGCTGGATTGCATGTCAGTCACACGTGAGCTGTCTACTTTGAAGCATTAGATTGAGAAACTGTCGTCTGCATTCCCTTGATCGGTGCTAACACGAGCCCCTTGCATGCTTGATTAGTCCGATAAAGAACGTTCCACAACTAATTCTATCTCTATATTCTAGAAAACTCGGAACTGACGAGGAAACTTTCATCAACATTTTGTGCACAAGAAGCGCATGGCAAATCCAGGCAATAAATAAAGCCTACGAAAAGGTTCGAAACCATCCCTGATGCAGTTTAACCTACGAGCATGTAATAAGGGCTCAGTGGGGATTCTGTAGGGCTTACCGGAGAATTTGTTTTGGCGTCATGATATTAGATATTTTAAAATGCTTCAAACAGAACCTTCATACTATTTGACTAAATTAAGTCATTGTGCTTTAAAGCGCTTTGGAAAGTCGCGTCATTTGTACAAACTCCTTAACGTTTAAGCAGGATTTGAAATACTAAAGTGGGTTTACACTAATACACTTAAAGACCAGATTCAATTATCGTCTTAAAAAATAACTGCTGTCAGTATATTTTTTGACCAAACAAAATTACTTTTGTAGACACTCTGTCTAAAATTCCAGGGGTGGTTGCGATTTCAAATGAGTATAAATAATTTCTCTGAATTTTTTTAAACAAAATTCAAGCATAGAAGACGCAGCAATTCAGGTGGCTTAAAGGTGGCTTCTGTTTCTTCGTTTAGATTAGCAAAAAGCGACTCATCGAGGCAATAGCGAGCGAGACTTCTGGAGATTTCAAACGGGCTCTCACAACTACTCGTATGTTTTCCAACTTCTTTATTTGCAGGTTACTTTACCTACTAGTGCAACAACAGATGTTGTTAACTTCGAGTCTTACCTTCGAGCCGGTCAATCCAATTAAGTACTTGAAGTTTATGCAGTAATTCAGTTGATGTGTTCACGGAATTACTCTTAATTTACTGGTAATTCAAAATGACAGGTGTTCATCAAGACCTGTACTTGCAATCTCAATACGTCCATAAAGAAAAAAATGTTTATTTGAACGGCAGAACTTCAATTTGTGAAATTTAAACCAGATCGACAAAAAATTGAATTTTGAAAAACAGGCATGAATGCGACTTAGAAGAGAAGATTATACTGAAGATCCGTTGTGCTTAAACCACAATTATTTCTCTAGCAGGGTATTTTTTCGTATTTAAGTGCTTGCCAACATTAACCCAGCAATGGCGTTTGCGGAGCACCTGAGAAAAGCCATTAGAGGTGCAGGAACCAACGACGACGAACTCATGCGCATTATTGTGTGGCGGTCTGAGGTTTGTTGGATGTTCTTCTTACATTTTCAGCAATAATACGAGCTGCTAAAAAAAGTGAATATTGTACCTTATTCACGATTTCAGATTGACATGAAAGAGATCAAGAACTGCTATCTCACGAGGTACAACAAGGACCTGGTCGAGGACGTGAAAAACGACACGTCTGGTGACTACGAGAAACTTCTTGTTCGTCTTCTTGGAGGCCACTAAACTTGCGAATGACTCGAACTAATTTTTCTATCTGTGATTCATGGCTTTAGTTTTTTTCGTGTTGCTGCGGATGATAAATTAAAGATTAGTAGATCAAAATGTTTGCTTCATTTAACAGATTTGTTGTCAGATTGTTCAGTAGACACTGTCAAAAATGTCACAAAAGGATTAAAGGTTGTTCGCAGATTTTAGCAATTGAAATGCAACCCACAACCAATTAAATGGTGTTTATTTCGATTGCAAAATGTTTCTCTCCCATTTATTAGCATTTTTATTGTTTTTGAACTGTAACGAGTCCCTGGTTGTAGAAGAAAACGTTAAATGACGTCGCTAAACCTTTCGGCCTCTGAAAACGAAAACCAGATTTGCAGCTTGCTTCTAAAATTATTCGTAGTATGTCGAGTCAAGCAGTAATAATTGGGCTCCTGTTAGACAGCTTGTATTTAAAAACTGATAAATTGCAAAAAAGAAGTCAAACTCATGCGAATAGTGGGTCAATCACTGCTTGAGAAAAATGGATGAGAGTGTAACGACTTTGGTATCGCGGACAACAGATCATACGTTGCAATCAACAGGTCAAGAGCAATCAAATGAGTTTCAAAAATTATTTATAAACATATTTGCAGGGGTTCTAAAAGTGCTTCCGAAACTTTAAAAAAAGTAGTTGTAATTATAAAGTAAAGAAAGAATTCATTTTTTATCTACGGCATGAAATCTTCTTGCTTTGTTCTCAATATATCCACAAAAATATGCTTTGGTTTTGTGCTTGACGAAAAATGCGGAGCTGCGACCAACGCCCCTAAAATGTTGCCATTTGCTGGACTCTGCCTTCATTATTTCATATAAGCACATGGTAAACAGCATTTCTACTCTTCCGAAATAACACACCACAATCACAAAGTTTTTGAAAGAATTTTGTTAATATTTGAAAACCCTAAGTGCCAGATGCTAACAATACGGTGTCAAAGTCCTGGAATGTGCACACTTAAAGTGATGGTTCTTGAGAATACATGGGGCAAAGTACAACTTCAGGCTTTAGGTGGCTGATAATGTATAATGTTGAAGCTATCGGGTTAGTTATTTAAAAATGTTTGTACCCAAATCAAAAACAAGTAAAATGTAACACGATTTCACTTTTGACGAAAATTTAGAGATAACATTTAATTGTAGCCAGCTAAAACCACCGATCAATGTCAGTCATAATGCTGCTAGTACCGCAGACACCGCCTATTGATTTTAGTTATGTTGCATTGTCCTACTTTACAACATAGGTTGCAGTTGCCACAAAAAAGAGGGAGAAAAAGGAAAATATGAACTCGAAACGACAAGGTAAACATTAGCATATGCATTTGTGGGATATGGAAGCCATTTGTCGAATCCTTTGTAAACACTTTGCAAATGCACCCATTGCCTTTTGCTTAGTTCTGTATTCTATTAAATATTTCAACGCAATAATTTACGTACAGCTTAAGTTTTTGAATAATTATGCCTAAATATTGTTTTTAGTAAACGTTTTTTGTCAGGATTCAGCTGTCAAATGATGACATATAAGGGTTTCCCAAAATTTTGTAAATTTATCAGTTTACAGATTGATGCATCTAAAAAACTATTTTGCATTAAAAGCGAAACAAAACTATAGCAAGCACATTATACTTTGGTTTTACTCTGTGGCTTTTCCATCGCGGAGTTTAAGCGTAATTGGTTGCTGTTTTTGGTGTGCAATGTCTAGTAAATATGCTAATTTTCGTCAGAAGCTTGTCCCTCTTGCATTGCGATTGTTTGAGCGTCCAAAAGTGAAGGAGTCAGTAAATTCGCTAAAGTCGATACTTGAAACCAACCGACACTTTGATATCATTAAGACCTCCTTCGATTCTCTTACGAACAATGTACATGCTAAGTTGGATAGATCCGTGAATAATTTCTCTTCGATTTACGACAAAATTACGGGTAGGGAATCTGTCAGGAAAGCTGGCGTCGATCTTTTGACGGTTAGACTTTAGACTTCAGTGATGTCGCAATTGACCAGAGGGTTCAAATATAACTTATTTGCGTTTTTGTTCATTTAGGCAGAGCAAGAATTTTTGAATTGTCAGTTGTGTCGTAGAAATTGTCAGCAAAAGTTATTCGCTGTCCAAAAAAAGCGGTCAGAAATCAGTAAACAGCTAGATTTGCTTTCTCGTGCTGACGACGCTTTCCTTCCATTAATTACCAAGGAACATGAAGTTAGTTAGTCTTTATTTTTTCGGTCGCCTTCTGGCAAACCCTTTCTAATTCTTTTGTATAAATTTAGCTAGCCCGAGAAGAGGCTGACCTGTTAACTCAATATCGAGATGCAGATATTTCAGAACGTGCGGCTTACGAAAAGTTCGCAAGCCTCTTGCGTTATTTGCACGCAGAAGAGCGAACTTACGATATGCGAATGCGACAGTGGGCCTTAATTGGTTCGATAACCGTTGGATTTCTTTCAGCTTTCGTCACTTGGCTCCGTTTTCGTTCGCCCAGGCTAGAAGCCGTAAGTCTGCCATCTTCTAAATGTCCTTATGGCGAATTCTGCCTTTTTGTCCTCGGCAGAAGGCATTACTCGGTCAGGATAATTCTTCGTCCATAAATGCCTCTTTCGGCCCCGCTTTAATTCTGAAATGCCGTGATAGTGTGCATTTAGTCTGAAATAAGAATCGTCTTTCACTCCGTATCAATTTTTTACCCTACATTTAATCGTCAAAAAGGACTTTTCCATACCATCAAATATTGTCTCCTATAACTTATTTTACAATTCAAAACATTGACATAGGCGAAATCTTCGCCCGTTTTGATGTTCATTTTTTAACGCCTTTGTCTGTTAATGGAGACTTGTGTTCTATGCTGTTGTATCACCTTCAGGTCTTATCTGTGAAAGTTTCGTTAAGAAGTCATGCTTATTCTTAAAAATCAGCATCTGATCAGGTTTCAATTCATTGGTAACTTGTCAGGGTTGTAACTTCTTGCATAGTAAAGTAAGTACTGTGTATTCCTTTAACGAAGTGATGTGGTACTTAGTGACTTGGCTTTAGAGGTCTATCGCGGGCCCTTTTATTATCCAGTTATTTTTTGCTATAAATCACTTATTGATGGTTTTTAAGACCATCAACCCTTATCCTAGTGTATCTTTATTGTCATTTTTCTAATATTATGGTCCTGTCTCCCGTAGGAAAAATTCCAGGAGGTCATGACGAAATTTGGTGACATACTGGATTCTCAGGTTAGTAATTTGAGCCTTTGCTTTATCCTACCTCCTTCAATTGTCTGGAGTTGTCACTTGCTTTGTTTCATTTCAGGCCCAATTTATAAACACCCTCGATCAACGGACGAAAAATATTTCCAGTGATGTAGGCCTGATCATTTTTGCTTGATCCTCATCACATCTTTTTCCTCTATTTTAGCTTAAACGCCTTGAGTTGTCCCAATTGATACCAAATCTCGAAAGCCCAAATGCGCCAAACCTGGACGGAATTCTTTCCTACTTCCCCTTGGCCTGTGTTGTGGTTTTAGGACTTTATTTTTGGTGCCGATAGAATCGAGATATCAATCATCATACCTTCCCTGCTTCATGTTGGATTTCGGTGATTTTACGTCTTTTATACAGAAACACAGCACTTCAAGATGCTGGTAATGCATGGTTTAATAAAACCCGATCTCCTTCCGTTGTTGTCATAATACTCGAAAAAAAAAAGTTATTTAAGAAGGACAGAAAATGGTTGTAGAAAATGGGGGTGTTTAGGTTAGGCTTCCCCGTTTTGTTAACCTTAGTGCAAGCAAATAGTATCAAGCATTCAGGGTGTCTTCTTCTCTGTGATTTTATACTGTGTTAGAAGCCAGATCAGACTTAGTGAATGCATAGCCTTGTCTGATCCATCGAAGGTGGCGCTTCACGTTTCATCATATTCGATTTATTGGTAAAGGTGATTTAATACAATTGAAGGCGCACGACGGGAGGATCTGCTAAGGTAACGATGTTTGTTGCTGCCTCTGTCCACTAGAATAACTGCTGCTTGGTAATAAGTTCCATGCTGCTATAGCGTACTATCGCTGTGGATGAAATGTGTCGTAAATGTGCCTTCAGTCATGTAGTGGCGCCTTTGGGACGGCAAAGCGATGACGGTCGTATTTTCCAAGATCTTTTGAGGCATCTGCACAATCGGTATGATTTCTGTAGTGTGAGCAGCCTCTAGTTTCCCCTGTGGGTACTGATGAAAATAACATTTGGGTAGACAGCTAGCACGACAGACGCAGTGACGAAAATTTGTCCAATAATTGGGTCAGGATTATTATCAAATTCGTATCTTTTCGGTAAAGAGTGGGGGATAGTTTCATATTCTCAAAGCATTTTTCGAGTGTTTGCTACTTTACTATCTTAAACCAAAGTAGAAAGCATTACAGCCAACCCTGTGTTATTGACGCTACCAGTGGAGAAAATTTATTGCAATTCACGCCCTTTAGAAAAATAAAAATAAGAAGTGGTCAGGAGTTGATCGAATTACACCTCGTGGCACAGCATCGACCTGCGTTGAGGTTATTCAGGCATCGTAGGCGCCTGCAGATGTGTTCAACTTGGACAGTCACACTTACAGTTAAAATACACCATGCCGTGTATAATTATGGCCTCACGGGTTGTGAACCGCCAATGTTCTGAAAGCATATTACGCGTCCATTTGATCTACATCTATTAACTTGGATCCAAGCCAAGACGAAGAATACAGTTTATCAAAACCCATAGACGAATTCCTGAGGTCATCAAGTGACTTATTACTACTTAACTCTCAATAGGCTTGTCATTTTATTCCGCATGTAAAACTATAAGGGTGGTGCATTCATATACCTTGTGTTTTGGCTAATGGAAATTTTTCCCATTAGACTAACACATTGGGGAAATGCAACATGTGACTCTAATCTATTTCATGTTTAAATTCATTGCATCCTCGAAAAAAGGATTAAGTTTATGATGATGAGATTTGTTAAACTTTTTATCACCCCCGACTTAATATTTGTATGTGCAAGATTCTTGGCCATGTCCAATTACCCCATGCATGTACTAAATTGCTTATTTGTAGTTCTGACAAAAAACTGACGAACAGAGATACTAGTTGTCAATTCTTCTAATCGCTCTTAACTTTTTTGAAAACCATCAATTGCTTCACTAACTTGTACTCACTGTTGCAACGGAGCACTTCATTATCATGCATAATCTGTGTTATGGGACCCTAATGCGTCTTTTGCTTTTTTTACAAATCTTCTAATTTATATTCCGCTTAACCTTATACTTCTATAATTACAGTCTTCGTATCTATCCACGGACGTATTTTGAGTTGACGTCAGCTGTTTTTGTCAATATTTTTACGTCGTAGCTCAAGTACAATTTTAAAAATATCGATTCTTTTTAAAGTTCCTCTAAATGTCCATCCAAAAGTCAGTTTTATAGAAGGCTTGGCTCCGTCAGCACCTAGCTCTCTTATCTTTTCTACACCTCATAAAAATGGTACGTTAAATTATCCTTGCTTGCCAAACAAACTAGACTTACGAAATTATTTCAATTATTTACTTTCTCTTTAAGCATGAATGCATCAGCATCCACGTCGGTCAGGGAGGTTGTCAAATTGGAAACGCCTGTTGGGAACTTTACTGCTTGGAACATGGAATTCAGCCTGATGGTCAGATGCCAAGCGACAAGACGATAGGAGGTGGCGATGACTCCTTCGCAACATTCTTCAGTGAAACGGGAGCTGGAAAGCATGTTCCACGAGCCATTTTCGTTGACTTAGAACCCACTGTTGTCGGTAAGTTAACGAAAAAAATTTTCTGGCTGCGGACAAAATACCTACCTACCTAAATCAATTTGCTTTTTATGGCGCAGATGAAGTGAGGACTGGAACCTACCGCCAATTGTTCCATCCCGAACAACTTATAACCGGTAAGGAAGACGCAGCCAATAACTACGCCCGTGGTCACTACACTGTGGGTAAAGAACTCGTTGACCTTGTTCTTGACCGTGCTCGCAAGTTGGCAGACCAATGTACTGGTCTCCAGGGCTTTCTCATCTTCCACTCATACGGTGGTGGCTCTGGTTCGGGTTTTACCTCCCTCCTTATGGAACGTCTCAGCGTAGACTATGGCAAGAAATCCAAGCTCGAGTACTCAATTTACCCAGCACCTCAAATTTCAAGTGCTGTTGTCGAACCTTACAACGCCATCCTTTGCACCCACTCAACTATTGAACATTCTGACTGCTCTTTTACATTCGATAACGAGGCTTGTTATGACATTTGTAGGTAGGTTGAACATGCGTTTAGCCTTAAACAATGTCACTAAAATGTCTAACAAATACTTTTCGCTTTAGACGCAACCTAGACATTGAACGCCCAACCTACACCAACCTGAACCGTCTCATTGCACAAGTTTGTAGTTCGCTCACAACGTCTCTCCGATTTGACGGAGCCCTCAATGTTGACGTTACTGAATTCCAGACTAACTTAGTCCCTTACCCAAGAATTCACTTCCCTTTGGTGACATATGCACCAGCGGTCTCTGCCGAGAAGGCGTATCATGAGCAGCTCACCGTGTCTGAGCTCACGAATGCCTGCTTCGAGCCAGCTAACCAGATGGTCAAGTGCGATCCTCGCCATGGCAAATACATGGCCTGTTGCATGCTTTATAGAGGAGACATTGCTCCAAAGGAGGTCAACGCCTCGATCGCCACTATCAAAACTAAGAGAACTATCCAGTTCGTTGACTGGTGTCCAACTGGCTTTAAGGTCGGCATTAACTACCAACCTCCAACTGTGGTTCCTGGAGGAGATCTCGCAAAGGTTCAGCGGGCCCTCTGTATGATCTCTAACACAACAGCAATTGCAGAAGCCTGGGCTCGTCTAGATCATAAATTTGATCTTATGTACGCTAAACGCTGCTTTGTTCATTGGTACGTCGGTGAGGGCATGGAGGAAGGCGAGTTCTCCGAGGCCCGCGAAGATATGGCTGCATTGGAGAAGGACTACGAAGAAGTTGGACAAGATAGCGTAGAAGGTGAAGGAGAGGAAGAAGAAGAGTACTAAAAGCACACTGCTTGCATTTAAAAAAGCTTGCAAGGATTCTTATAGGGCAATTTTGTACCTGTTTCAAGCTTTATTTACAAAAGGAAGTCTTTTGTAGTGTGATAAAAAAAATAAAAAAGCTTCAAGTAAATAACTTGTTTTTTTGGAAACACGGTCGGATTCAACGGACAACTTATGCAACATTTGTCAATTTTACCAGAAACGGTCGCTGCTACTCTACGATTTCACTTTTCCAAAATTATTTCACGATTACCAAATTGGGGGCCTTAGTAAGTAAGCAGTGTCCTTGGTCGAAGTAGTAGTAGTAGTAATGTGGGCTCACAAGTCACATTTGATAAATTCCTGACTGATGTCCTTAAGCGTCGGTACAGTTTTGGTGACCAGTTATGACACTCGCTAAGTTCATTATACTAGGTTTGCAAATGCAGTTAAAGTTTTGAAAAAGAAGTAATGACAGGTAATTAAATTACTGTCTTGTGGTCAGTAAAATGGGCCCATTTCAACAGACCTTGCCGCATTGCAAAGGCCACCTTTGGTAGCATAAAATTTAGCCAATGCAGGGTGGGGAAATTAATGTCAGTAATTTTGCGTTTTTATTTGTAGGGTTATCATTTTAAAACGATCATTAATCAGTGAACGCCCTGTTTTTTTGCAAAATCAGACTTATCTCAAGTAGCTGCTCAAAAGCCAAATGGAGAGCGATATTTTGTAATTTTGTACTTTGAGTCAATAGGCAATGCTAAACAGTAAGAAGTAGAAGAGACATTAATCGGATGATTGCGGTATTTTGAGGAAATATTTAACAAAACCTTTCAGTAACAGCACTATTTGAAACATTGGCGACTCCCAAACTGGTAAATAAGTTTGATTCACAGCCTTAAAAGCACTTCAAGTAAGAAGTATCGAAGAGGTTATAATTATAGTGATATTGTTGGATGTTTATTTGTAATTTGAACCAAAGTATTGGGCATATGACGTAATTTTTTAAAAAATTCTATCTCGTATGCATATATTTTAACGGTTTTTTGTGCCTTTGAAGGGACGGAATGCAAAATTTCAGAATACCAAACGACCAGTCTACGTGAGTTACATAACCTCTCAGAATACCAGAGTTTAGGATGGCAGCTGGTTAACAGTGCATTCGATGGCACTGCATTTTAGTACGATTGCAAACAAGGAAAAAATGCTTCTAAAGAACGGCAATAAACTTGTGGTGTTTTTGGTGCTGACCTTGTGTCTTATGAAACGTGTACTTGCTGGTTCAAAAGTGGTGATTTCAATCGTAGTGACTAACCGCGCCCCAGACAGCCTCGAAAGTTTGACGATGCGAAATTGCAACCTCTAGTAGGTGAAGACTCAACGCAAACACAACAAGAGCTTTCAGTTCAATTAGGTATCTCCCAAACAGCTGTTTGCAAGCGTCTGCACCGTCAAATGGGAAAAATTCACAAAACTTGGAAGTTACGTGCCACATATGCTGACCGAACATAGCATTCTAAGTCGGCGTATGAACATACACCTTTCACTGCTCGCTCGCCAGTAACAACAATGACATTTTCTGGAAAATTATTATGACTAATGAAAGGTATAATGTAGAGGCTTTCATAAATGGGATCAAATGCTTGAGTCGCCTTTAACGAGGAACGGATAATTTACGTGAAAATTATTTTAAATTTCGTTGTGGATTTCGGTGCTCAGATTGGTCAAGAAAGCAAACCTGTTTCGTGAATAGCAAACGAAACATACCGGCAAAATAAAACAGCACAAACAATTATGCATTTATTCAAAGCAGATGCGAGGTTCTTCTTAACGGTACAGTGCCATCAGTCAAAATGAAAATTTACAAAGTAAAGCTAATTTTTTCATTGTACCCCGTTTTGAGGAAATCTTGCTCTCCATTTGGCTTTTGAGCAATTACCTGAGACAAGTCTGATTATGGGTACATATTTAGTTCACAATAAATGCGGTCATTGCAATTAAAATCCCCTTTCTCTGGTCCATGTACTTTAACTTTCTGCCTACAAGTCAGCCGCTCATACAATGATACGTATCTGAGGAGCGTTATCTGTTGATTGTTTTACTCATGTCATGTTTGTTTATTACTCGATCTACATACATTTATGCCTAAAGCGTTTACAAACTAATGAGTGATTATTCCTTAGGTTTTTATAACTTGTACGATTAGACGTGGACCCCAAAAAATTGATGACAAGGCTTAGATTGAACCACTTAAAATACAACAAACGGTAGGTGTTTTGCATCACTTAAACGTCAAATGCGAGTTAGTTGCATTTCATATTGACAACTTTTGTTGGTTTAAACATTCCTGATAGAGTGAAACACTAGGATTTTTACGACGACGAAGTCATTACCCTGAATTGTCCGGGACCAATAAATCTGTCTACGGACGACGCTCTAGTCTGAGCTGTCTAACTTTATTAAGATTGGCAAAAATTAACTAAGGTCATGTTGCTGCTAGTATAGGCTGTCAAATGATTAAATTTTTTTGAACGTCCAAAGGCCCTGACACATCATGAGGTCCGCAAATTTTCTGTCTAGCGCCGCAGATCAATAAAGTGCCACGTGCACCAATTGATTTCGGCCTGGCAGCGTGACTGGAAGTTCTGAGTCACAGCGCCACCTAAATCCTTCCCTCGGAATACCGCAAGCCACCAAAAATGCGTGAAATCGTGCACGTTCAGATAGGCCAATGTGGCAACCAAATGGGTACAAAAGTAAGCCTATTGCCTCAAACTACAAAATTACCAATTTTAGTTCTGGGAAGTTGTATCCGATGAGCATGGTTTGAATTGCGAAGGTCTCTACACTGGTGACAGCGACCTTCAACTGGAAAGGATAGGTGTCTATTACAACGAGGCTATTGGTAAATTGTCGAGTTAAAAATGTAAGCCTGCTTTTTGAGGTGGTAAATTTGTGCCAAGGGCTATCCTTTCCGATTTGGAGCCTGGCACCATGGATGCTGTCAGGTCAGGACCAATGAGCAAGCTTTTTAGACCCGATAATTACATATTCGGAACAACCGGAGCTGGAAACAACTGGGCAAAAGGTCACTACACCGACGGCGCTGAGCTTATTGATGGTATCATCGATGTTGTTCGGAAGGAATCCGAATACAGTGAATGCCTTCAAGGGTTTCAGATCGTTCATGCCCTTGGAGGAGGTACCGGTGCTGGTCTTGGCACGCTTTTAATTAGCAAAATAAGGGAGGAGTATCCTGATCGAATCATCAGCAGCTTTTCAACTGTGCCTTCTCCCAAGGTACTCGCCTAATCCTTATTTGAGCCTAATATAATTTAGGTGTCCGATGTTGTTGTTGAACCGTACAACGCCACACTATCCTTGCATCAACTGGTGGAGAATACAGATGAAACATTCTGCATTGACAACGAGGCTCTGTACGACATCTGCAACCGAACACTAAAGCTTGTGACTCCCACCTATGGTGACTTAAACCATCTAGTTAGTGCTACCATGTCAGGCGTGACAACTTGCCTTAGGTTCCCCGGCCAGCTGAACGCCGACCTGAGGAAGCTTGCCACAAACATGGTACCATTTCCAAGGTTGCACTTTTTTATGCCTGGATTTTCTCCATTGACAAGCCGTCACTCTCAAGCCTACAGGAGCTACTCAGTTCAGGATTTGACTCATCAGATGTTTGACAGCAAAAATATGATGGCTGCTTGTGATCCTCGGCACGGGAAGTATCTTACCGTAGCAGCCATGTTCCGTGGCCGGATATCCATGAAAGACATAGACGAGAATATGCTTAACGTACAAAACAAGAATTCTGCTTACTTCGTTGAATGGATACCAAACAACGTCAAGACTGCCGTTTGTGACATCCCCCCACGTGGTTTGAAGATGGCTGTCACCTTCATTGGCAATAACACAGCAATTCAGGAGATTTTCAAGAGAGTCGGTGAACAGTTTATGGCCATGTTTAAGCGACGAGCATTCTTGCACTGGTATACAGGCGAGGGCATGGATGAGATGGAATTCACGGAGGCCGAATCAAACATGGATGACCTGATTAGTGAGTACCAGCAATTCCAGGATGCGACAGTCGATGACGAAGTCAAACTGGAGTAGAGACGCGTTTTAAATGATAACGAAAATAGTGTGACCGAACTTTACGAAGACCTTAACCCACACACACAGAGACGTGCGAAGCCTTGAAGCTACCGAAAAAGTTGTCGCGTCAGGCTTTCGAATTTCTATTTACGTGGATACATCATTTGAGAAGGATGTCGTGTCTTTCTTTTTTCTTCCCGAAAATACATTTGCTCTTCTGCAATTTGCGTTTTTGACCGATTAAGTGGCACTTATAATTGGGTGAAATAATAATTTCCGGAAAAAAAGTCATAGTTTTTGTTACGAAGCTTAGAGCATTTTGATTGACTCAAATTCAAATAATTTTAGTAAAAAAAACAGTCAAACTTATATGGGTCTGCATTTTATAAGACGGTTTAATCAAGTAAGTCGTTCACCCTGAGTTCCAAAGTTAATGTAAAAGCAATTAGGCACAACACAAGTTAAAAAAGTGATTTTATCATACTAATTGATAACATGCTCGCCAAACTAGAAAAAGCTCACATAACTAAATCATTACGAGAGAAAGGAGTTAGATGAGTGCACAGCTGGAAGGCCGCAAATTCCAATGCGAAATGGTAACACTATCAGTCACAAAATTATACCACACAGGCAACTAATTGGACAATGCGTTAGTTGGATAGACTCAGGTCTCTCAATGCGCACCCTGACTCCAAATGCTAACTTGTATAATAAATCATTCTTACTATGGTGGTGGTTCAAATGGGTTGTGTCTAACCTCACTTGCTCACGAATAATTTGTCCGCTGTGCTCACAGATATTGCCTAAAATGGCCATGTATATGTATAGAGTAGAAAAATTAATTAAATAAATGCGACCTGAGATACCTGAAAATTATGTCAATCTTGACCAAATTGCACCAAAAGAGATTACAAAATTCTGCCATAGATAGCATCAAACCTATGTTAATAAAATTAAAAACAATTTCGAAATTAATCAAATGAATGCCTTATACAAGGGATGGGACAAAGTATTTGCATAAATGTATGTTTAATAAAGTCATATTTTCAAGTCGAATTAACATGCTGAAGTCCAGGCATTTAACCATTGTGTCTCTGACCCATTGCATTCGTTGAATTTTTATTTGAAACATAACATTTCCACTATGAGTAGATCACTTATAAATACAATATTTCAATGAAGTTTAGCTCAGTAATACGTTGAAAAAGAGAGTATCATAAAGTGTTTCGGCACAAAACACAAGGACTGATATATGATACTGCCTGTCATAAAAATTCATTACAATACAATAAAATATTTAGCACGTACAGAATAAAAGAAGAGAAGGAAAAAGAGTACTATTGGACAAAAGCACACTAAGATGGAATGGATTGCGAATGATGCTCGTCATATTTGGTGTTTCAAAAGCACGTTGTGAAATCAAAAGAGAAATGGTTATAAGAATAATTGACAAACGTCAAGTTTTTGCATGATCACATGTATTTCAATATATGGGAAATTAAAAAAAAATGACTGTATATTTAGTTTTGGTGCCGTTTTATATAATTTACACCATGTCATATCATAATGAAAAATAAAATTGTCCTTTGAAATTCTATTAATATGATATGCGTCATGGACATTTTTCGGGTGAACATCGTGGAAACATTTCATGTTATTGATATTTTGTTTGAAAACTAAATGAGTTCTTGACCTAGATGAATTAACTGGGGAGCTGTATAAATATATTCTTAAATTCCCAGAACCACTCCTCTTGTCCATCACTAAAGCAACCGATCACACTGAACTACCAACAGTTATATAAAGTTTGCGCCATTTAAGTTTCTAAACTTTCCTTTCAGCGCAATTGCTGACCTCTTTGGTATCAGTGAGAACACAACAATATGCGGAAGCTGCTTTGTGCATAAATTTAAATTTACTAGAAAGATTATTATTTCTTCAGCTTTACTAGTCAGAGGACTGAATTAAAACCATTTATAAAATTTCAATAAATTGGACTATAAGCATCATGATATTATCTTTGGGAAATATAAAACAGCCTGCTAATTCTTAATGTTGCAATTACGTTTAAAAAAAAGGAGCAGTCAATTTTATTTGTTACTTATTAAGCTTCCCGACTTCTGCAGGTCACAATGTTGTTTGCACAAATGACAAGGACTCTGGTTGTTTCTGGATTCTTCCAGTAGCAATTAAAAATTAAGAAATTTTAACTCCAAAGTAGCGTACATATTTTAAAAGGTCTTATTTTTGTTGTTTTGAAATAATTTTAAGTTTTTAAAACAAGTTGTGATTTGTTAACTTTGAATAGAAGACACACCACTGAAATGCTAATTAAATTGACAATTTTCGTCAGCGCCCTCTGTGAATACCCAATTAGGGTGTGCAGAAATGTGGTTTGGCACTTTTCGGCGTGTTTCATCTCTTTTGTGTTCTGTGCCTCGATATTTATCTTTCACTAAATGCCACCCATCGCTGCGGCTTTCAACTGCTCAACCTAAATCGTATTATTTGTTCCTTGGTTTGCTGACTTCTAGAGTACAACTTATTTTCGAATGGCCTGGTAACGGCTTTCGCCAAACCGTGGTTGCAAACGTTGGAGACACTTTGCTAGACGTTGTTCTTGACAATGAGTTGGATGTAGATGGTTTCGGTACAATCCGATTTTGTGTTGCTAAAACTTGTAGGAGCCTGTGATGGCACTCTTGCGTGTTCCACATGCCACCTAATTTTGTCTGATGATGTGTACAATAATCTCCCCAATCCTCCTTCCGAAGAAGAAGTGGATTTGTTGGATATAGCCCCTTCCATAACTGACACGTATGTGATCAATTATGTTTTTTCTGGATTACTCGTTTTATCAAGGCCTTTAATTTTAGCATAAGTTCTTCATTGTGTTAATTAAACTCTGGTGGTTTGAATTGTGTGCTTCAATCTCAGCCTCATCGGTGTAATTTTAGTGAATTACGTCCTTATATTCTTGTGTAAATGTTAATTTAGTACACTTCTCCTTGAGATTTTTCACTCAATTTGTTTCCTTTTATTCTCGTAATCCTATTCACGTCATAGAAATGTATTAAACAACTTTACTTGTGCATTACTTTACCTTTTTATGCCTTAAGATGTTTAACAACTTCACTTACATGATTTTTACCGCAAACTCTAATCTGGCGTTGATCAGTCTGTCTGAGAAAACGTTAACCTTTTGTTTATGTCTACTCCCAAAATTTTTTCCCTTCAATTACTGGTTCGGTTTGCTTGTTCCTGATTTTCAGGCACTGATCATATTCCGAGCACCGTCAAGGTGACTTTGATATTAGATTCCACATATGAGTTTTAATTCAAGCATTGTTTCGATATGTCGTCATCGTGATGAGTGATAGTGATGATGTCGTCATCTTTGATGAGTAAAATGCGTCTCAGGTTGTGTTCGGTAAGTTTACGTGCTCGAAATTGACACTTTATCAAAAATTCTAAGGCACTGTTTTCAGCTGTGACCACTGGTTTGATGGATTCACGGACTGATTCGGAGGTTTGCATTTAACGAGGGGATTTTGGAAGTTTATGTGCTCGATTGCGTAACAGAACGTGCGCAATCAAATCAAAGTCATACTTGAATTGGATCGGCATATGACTTTGCAACAAAATTAACTATATTGTACTCAACAATTGAAAGTCACTAAAAGTGTCTTGGACTGATTAAGAATCTTGGTATTTTGGTTCCTCAAGAATGGAGCGAAATGCACTTTGCACGAAATATCAGTATCCCAAAATCTCTGAGGTCATTCATTTTAGTTCGATTCAGTAGCGGTTAAAATTAATGCATCGTCTAAAATAATATAATTGAAAAGCGGTCAGTGAAGTTTAGTTGAACAGACAAAAAACCACATCGATTATCGAATTGCGCTGGAAAACGGTCATTCTCTTATTTTGGTTGATTTGTCTAGATAGTGCATGTTTTAAGCAATTTTCAGAGTACTAAACTACCAATTACTTTTTAGTGATTAAACTTTATTCCTTGCATATGAAGGTTGATTTTTACCAAAACCGCATTTATTTTGCCAAATCGTGTTTTTAGTGTTTCCCGTCAGCATTTGTTGTTTCTTTATTTTGTTTTCAGTTCTCGACTTGGTTGCCAGGTAATAGTATCGGAGGACATGGATGGAACTGTAATCAGGATTCCTGAAGACATTTGGGACTCTCGCCTTTAGCGCTTTCTAGAAAGTAATTGCCTACTTACATTTGCCCAGTACACACAAAATGTCATTATCATCTAAGTTATACCGTTTCCACGTTGCAAAAGCACTGAAAGGTAGTTTCATTATTTATGACTTGCCACTGCAGAGCGCTTTGCAAAGCGAGGATTTGTAAAACATTTTGATGGTTCAATTTTTAGATATCTGGTAGTCTTTCAAAATTTCCATGTTTTTACGTTAGTGGTCTGCTACATCCACCATCGGTGGTTTGATGCAAGTAGTGTAAGGTACAGTCATTTGTATATAATCCACTAACTGTAGGGCAACACGTTAATTCGTGGCTCCTATTTTGCTACTGTCTGAGTGTGCTAAGTGAGGCATTGTCAACTTCGACGGGTAGTCAAATGTAACTAGAGAATTCTCACTGTGATTTGCTCCTGCAAAGTTTACTTCACCAGACGACCACCTTGCTCAAGCCGATATCAATTTGACCACGATTTCAGGTCGTATGGGTTTATGTACAAACCCGGTTTACAGTCCGAAATCCCCATATTGCCTTATGATGGAGGTTTGAGTTCCATCTTGTTATTTTGTCGTAGCATAGTCTTTTAAATGTTGATGTACTCCCTCCGGTAAACGTCTGGGACATGTGTGATCGGGTAGCACGTCCAAATGGTACTGACAAGTTCAGGTCCTAAACTCATCACGATGCAAGGGACTACTTGGCTCATTTTACTCGGCTGCTGTTCGAGCAGAATCATTCTCCCATCAGAAATTGTATAGATCCAAACCACGAGAACACCTGGCATAACTCCCCTCTTTTTTTATCCATTTAACAAGCTGTCATTCTCTTAATAGCATTGCTTGGTGCGAGAACTTGAATAATGCTTTAAATTTGTAAATGTACTTCGGCCACTGTGGTGTGATTCCAATCAACTTTAAACACTCTAACATTGACGACGGTTCGAAGGAAAGGTGATTGTTTGCGTCTAGTAGACTGTATGTGTTCGTTTCCACGTATTGTGGCTGCCATATTTTCCGTTTACTTTCTTCGAAGCAGTTTCAGACCGACGATCTATTCGTTTGAAAACTGCACAAAATGCCTGATGCCTGTCAGCAACCCCTAAATCGCTTTTATTTCTCTTAGTTTTAGCACACCCCGCCAAGCAATGCCAAACTCATCGTTCCCGGAGTCACCGCAAACTCGGTTTAACGTAAGTCGCATTAAAAACCCACTTTCCCTGATGACGGACTCTAGGGCCCAAGTGGGTCTTGAATTGACAGCTAACTCATTGGACTTCGTCGGATTAGAAAGTATTGCCTTAAAATACGACATTTTGATTTTGCATTTCACAAACGCCACAGTCACAGCTTGCGAAAAAACCGATCACTCAGCGAGCTGCCTGTCGCCACAGGCGGGTTGAGTGCGGGCCACTTAACGTCGCCTGTCACCTGTCTCTCCCCAGTGATGCGAAGTGTGGTTTTTTTCGATTTACGAAGGAAAAATTGGCATGAATGGGTGTACACTGTCGCTTACTCACCCGCTAGCCCTGGGGTGTCATTGTGTGTGTGTGTGTGTGTGTGTGCGTGATCTCATTTACAGAATACTCGTAAGTCGATTTGGAATGGCGGTGTGTGGGGACCAACGGTAGGGGCGAGTCACAGACGCAGGTCATTTTCTGATCAATCTGTTTGCCCAAGCCCCTCGTTGACCGTTCACAATGCATTTCTCACTCTGCGATGCACACGTTTATCTGATCTGACCAACTAGTGCTTGCACTTTTTCGCGAAAAATAAACGACTACTTTCCGTTTTTGTAGTACTTAACACCCCCAGAATCTTTTTTTCGGTCTTTGATGTACAAATAAGTCTTCGCATCTTCCTACAAAGCACCTGAAAGCGACGTGTCTATTAGAAAAGTCAAATCTTAAGTCACATGGGCCACAAATCCCCTTCCTTAAAGGTGTCCCATCCCGCTTTATTACTCCGGCAAGTATCTTTTATCGTGAACATGGGTCTTTGTTAACTTCAGATGTCATTTTGCCTATCCCTGGCGCAACGCCTTATCAGGTCACCGTTTCTTAGGCTTGGGTTCAGGAAATACCCCCGAATGTATTTAGACTTAAAACGACTTTTCTTATGCAAGAATTGTTTGTTCTAACTTAAGATACAGTGGTTTTGTCGAATACCGTCAGGTCAGGCTGTTGGGTAGTTGAGTGCCGCTGGCATTTGATTTGTAATCCGCCATACGAAACTGCATTAATTTAGAGTAAATTAGAGAGATCGCTCGAATCACACCGTGTATCTTTTGGCAACACGTTTGCCCTCGTTTCGGGTAGTCGGTTTCGAACCCGGTCATTTCAGCTTCGAGTTGCGCCAACTCTTTACCACTACTGCATTTGGTAGCGGTCAACATTTGACCGGATCGAAAAAGCCTAGTGAGTCGCCGTGTGGGTTTTGCTTAGGCTGCTCTGTACTACTCTTTCCACCGGAACACGTCTTACACAATGCCCGATTCAGATCCAGTCAGATCGTGATTGCGAGCCGACAGTCATGAATCGATGTTTAGTTCAATTTCCAAGTCGCTGTTTCCTCAATTTCGATAAAACGCGTTTTAGCTCTGACAATCGCCCCCACGAACGCTCCATGGAGGATCATGCAAACTAAACTAATTTCTCACAAAGATCAGCTGTCGTAGCAAGTCACGTGTTATTAATGTGAAGTCAGGTAAATTGTGTTTCACAAATGTGGCTGTGTGGGTGCTTGTATTACTCATGGTAACACGGTTGCCTTCGTTTACATAAACGGCAAGTTAAATGTCGAAAGAATGCGTAATGATTTGCAAATTTATCAGGTGTTGCAACAGTATTCCGTGGATTAGTCGATTGAAACATGTCATTCATTAGTCCATCGGTCAACGTAAGAAACTAATTGATGCTTAATGTTGGTCCTGCTCAAATGCCTGACCTTTTGACCAAATGCGGTAAATTTTTGACGCCTTGGTTACAGCCCTATTTGGTCCATTTATATGAAGCAGTCCATGCTGTTTATCTTGTCCTTATTCGTTGAAGCAATTCCAAGCACTGACAACTTGAAAACTTTGCAAAACTGCTCTTCACAAATTTCGGATCGAGTTGCATGGTTTTGTGGTTTATGTTTTTAACTTAACAGGAAATCTGTTTATTGTGTAACTTGAAAATATTTCAAAAGTCCGGCTTTTCATCCGCCTTTCAATCAGATTCCTTTTTACTTGTTTCCAATGTAGTTTGTGGGTCGTCGGCGCGAGTTATTCAATGAGTTCGCGATTTTCCAGCTTCCTCCCACGCAGTTGTAGATATTTTGGTGCATCTGGTCTTAACAACGGCACTTTTTGCAGTAATGTGAGCCCCTACTGTAGCAATAGCTTGTCTGAATTTGGCTTTCTAAGAACGCCAAAATGGGACTTTTTTGTCTAGCGGGTGGACCTCAGTCTTCGCCAAGTGTGTGTCGAGCCTCTCTCTCACTGGTTATCATCCCCCAAGGAGTTCGTTAGATGTACCTCTCTAGTGGGTGTCTTGGGTGTGACCGCCCCCATTCATTAGTACGCATGCTTACTGGATGTGCACACGTCCACTTCGAACGGCGCGGTCAGTACTTCAGTTTAAACCGCTTCAGGTCTCGAATGTGACATGGGTGCAGTGTGCCATACCTCGGTCTTTTATCAATTTTTTTTTTCTACGGCAAATCTTTCGTGCTTTTGGTACTTTTTAACCATTCAAGTGCTTCAGTTGGCCGATTCGTAGAGAAGAGGCATACTATCAACGCTTCGGGACCTTATTTTGCGTCTAGAACTCCTGAAGTGGGAAGAGTCATCAAAGCATCAATTTGAAGCCCTAATCTCGCCTCACTCAATACGTCATCTTATGAACGAGTTTTTCTCTCAATCACTGTTTCATTTCACTAGTTTAGACACAGACGTAAAGCCAGTTGATATAAAGCTATTTTAATTCTATTCTTTCCTGATTCACTCATCTACAAACCTTCAGAATTAACGGCTCCACCTACTTAAAGCGTCCTGCTTGGCATTGTACTGCAATAAAACGATTTCGTGTGTGCCCTGCCTCGTACATTTGAGGCCTGTCAACTTGCGACTTTTGTCTTTTTCATTCACCTAATCGTCACGTGCACTCCCGTCCTCTCCTTATTATTTGAAAAGGGGAAAGGAAATTTAAAAGGTATAACAATCACTAGCTGTATTACCGTTGTTGGGCCACTTTCGCCTTCAAATATCCCCGTTCCACTCGCAACTAGGTATCCGCTTAAAAAGCCACCCGTGGGTGGCTGGCTTCGGGGGCCTTGTCTTCCAACCTCTCCAACACATCCTTCCCCCGGCGTAGGGTTGCGCTTCCAAATTGTAATTTAGAGAAAAAACCCATGCCCTGGCCTCGTTTCCTAGTTCCCCGTCAAGCCCCTTCGTAGGCACAAGTGTGTATGTGAACTCGCTGGCAGTTTTTTTCCGTCGAAAATAGTCAACCAAGCATCATTGTACTAGCTTAGTTATCCCCACGAATGTTGCCTTTTCAGTGCCTTTTAATCGAATATCTTTGTCTGTGTGCTCAAATGCATATTCGGTCAAGTTTATTGCTCTGATGCCATGACACCCTTCGGGTCTATTTTCTGCAAAACCTGAAGGAATGAAATAAAGATTTTGGCTTAGCTGTTTTCTCTATTAAGCTGCCTCATTCCCATGCCATTTGCCTAGTTTTGCATGACACTAATCGTTGGTAGATATCGTCCGTACACGTCTACTACTTCCACGTCAATAATTTCCAATGCGGTAAAACCTCTGTTCTACTTTTTTTTCTCTTTTTAGGACACCGGTTCCTCGTCTCGGGCTGTTTTGGTCCTAGTATCTTTTTTGTATCTAAATTACTCTAGCTCCTTTGAAATACAGGTATTGCCTTTCACCCTCGACGTGCTTTTTGATGGCGTAGTTGTGTTTGGCTGTAAGACTGCTAATCAAACTGTTCATTCTCGGCACTCCAGTGTTCCTCCATCGTGTGCCTCCGCCGCCTACCTGTTCTCGGTGTCTCACGCTAACTGGGAGAGGTGACGAGACCCATTAGGGCTGTGGGGTGTCTCCCTTAAACCACCAAGCTCTGTTTTCATTTTGCAACGTGGCCTCCTCACTTACAAAACAAATCCGTCTATAGTCCCTGTCGATTCATTTTTAAAGACTGACTTACCTTGCAACCACTTTTCCGCCCGTTATTAGCTATGCCAGGAATTCGTGAGTAACAAATGTGATCAGAGTAGTGGTAATCTATCATCCTTCAACACCTATCCAATTATTGAATAGTTGAAAGGTCTTTCAATAATGCATGTTAGTTCTTACCCGTCCACAGTCGATGTCTTTAACTCTCATCAAACAGAACATTGCTACACTTGAGATCCTAATGGACATCGTCTAATTTAAAGTTGCTGTCTCTCAGGGCCGATTTACATATGGAGGATTATATTACTTAGACAGCCATTAAAACCAGACAAATCATTTCGAAACGATGGGCTGGGATAAACAGGTGAAATAAGATACTGTAACGGCACTACTCGAAGCTACTCTCGTTTTTGCACAAATTCCGAACTAAGGTATCCCGCGTCGTTACTCCTTTTGCCTACGCTATATCTCAAGTTAGGTATTGACTTGTAGTTGGGCTGTTTGCAGTTTCAGACTGTTTCGTTTAGCGTTACTGTCAGTTTTAATGGGGCGAGTCCTGTGGATGATGCCTTAGCCAAAATGACTTGAGATTTTTACCTGCTTGTGTGCGATTCCCCTTTTTTGCGTGATATCCTCCGACGAGTTAGCCTACATAGTACACCCCAGATGTGTGAAGTCGAAGTGAGATCGCCTGGCTGTTGAAGCGGTCTGTTTAAGACGCACGACCCTGCATCACCGATGAATGTCAACGCCAGCGTTTTGTTTTGTGACCTTTCATCTGAGTTAAGCTTTTTGTCATTATATTTCCAGCCATGGGAAGCAGCAAAAACAAAGACAGTGTTCATGGGAAAAAGAGGAAAGTCGACGAGGGTGTGGTGGTAAATGAAGACGCCACCGAAGCTGAAGTGTCGGAATCGCCCCCTTTGGTAAAAAAAAGAAAAAAGTCTGTTGCGTTTGCGGTGGCGGCGGCGCCTATTGTCGATGCTGGTAGCAGCCCCGTCCACCAACCAGCGAGCCCCAAACGGAGACCGGAATTCACCATCTTGAAGGGGCCGAAGGAACCAGCCGAAACTGCCGGCGAAGCTGATGGTAACGGTTTTTTCGGTTCTTGAACCTTCAGCCACAAGTTTGCTCCAGAATCTATTCTGCATTTAACTGCCCACGCAATTGTCCTAACAGCAGCATAATTGGACTTGATGCTGTAAAGGCCCCATTCCGGTGACTCAGAGCAGGTGCGCGCTGAAGCGTGGTGGCGGTCAAGATATGCTCAAAAGACCGTGGTATTTTGTGTTTTAGAGGAGAACCAGGGCAGCGCCGGAGAGCAGAGCGAGAAGCCGAAGAAGACGAAGAAGAGCAAAAACGCCCTCAAACGCATCAAGTGGGCCAAACGACGCGCCAAACGGACCACGTCGCGGCGGCGACGCAAGGCGAATCGCGAGCTCGCCAAGTCGCGGCCCCAGCGCGACGCCGAAGAGCACGTCGCCGAGGCCATTGACTACCTCAACCGCTGGCACTCCAGTCCCGAGACGTGGAAGTACAAGAAGGTGGCCCAACTCACGCTCATCAAACACGCCTTCAATCGCTCCCTGGTGAGGCGCTCGTTGCGTTGGCGGTGGTCTGCCGTTTCCTAGCAGCTTCCGTTTGCCATTTTGACGGGCAAACTCTTTTTGCCACGTGCCCTCAACACTTACGGCGTGTCTGGATGTCTATTTTAGCCGTGTCCTCATTTAGTTTTTATGCACAATGCCGTTTGCGCGTTCGACGGAAAATTTGTACTTTTCCTGCACTTTGTCTAGTCTCGGCGGTTTAGTGTGCTCAGTAATTGCTGGAGCCTTCGTAAGGGTTTAAATTGCCGCGAAAAAAAAATTATTACTATTGACTATTCACGTGATTTAATTTACTCCGCTACCTTGAATCCACGCCTTTGCCAGTACATCACAGTTGACCAATTGAATTTAAAGACATCTAGCACCACTACACCCAGAGTCCCCAATCCCTTGTATCTGGTCTTTAAGTATTGCTAGGCAATATTAACAAATCCGCTTGTTTTAATTCGCTGGATAATATGAACTTTTGGTAGAATCAAGACATCCGTTGATTTCGCCTGGCCCCCGAAGTCTGGTCTTAATTACGCTACCATTGTGCGTTTTGTTGATGTGATTGGTTGGAGTCAGCGATATTAGTAAACTGATTGGATGCGCCGCTGTAAACCACTTTTATTCACCAATAGGAGTTAGTGTTGTAGCTTAATAAGGCAATCTCGATTTTGAGTTATCTTAACCATGTCGCTCTAGCCTGTGTTTTTTATATCTGCAATACCTCTTGAGATTTGCCTACGCACAATAAAGATTCGTACACGAAGCTTAGTGCATGCCATTTCGGGGCGTTTTTTTACAAGTTGATTGAAATAATCCCACACTTGAAGGCCATTTTTCATAAGGAAACGTTTCAGGCTGACGTGTCACAATAAGCTTCCAGTTGTGGGATGGACGTCTGGTAGAAGAGCGCTGTTTATTTCAATTTATTCCATTACTTCGCCGCAAATTCAAATGCATCGTCGTCTTGTGGTTCACCGTCGATGTCCAACCCTCGGCTTCCTTTGTAGATCGACGACGAGAATTTTGAGCTCCTGTCGCTCTACCTAGCTGGTATGCAGGGTGGCGCCGCGGCCCGACTGCAGTCCTTGTGTCAGCACTTGGTTGACAACGCTGGAGTGCCACCCGAGTCGCCAACCCTTCCCCTTGCCATTCCGGAGACGAGTTTAGGTGATTATTCTCCTTTAAACCACGTATCCTTCTACTTTTGTTTTTAAAGTAGCGTGTAATTTTAACTGTAGGCTCCTCGACTGTCATCAAACGTGCGAAGAGAATGCTTGACTGCTTGCAGACATCTTCACCTAATTGATTAAAATTTCTACTCCTACTGTACACAGTTTTGTTGAGCAAGTAATAAAGCCATTCTTTTTTATTTGTCTTCAGCATATAGTTCAGTTCATGTTGAAATCCCGCTAAATTTACACACCCGGTTAAGGCTTCTGTAGAAGCCGTTGAGGCAAAATGTGATATCGTACTCTAACAAGAAGCCTTGGAAGTTAACACTTCTGTTGGAACTCGTGTCAACATTAGGCAAACCAATTTTTATTGTTTCTCACCAGAACTTGCCGTTTTATTAACGGTCTGAAAATGCCACAACAGAAGTTTTATCGGTGATTCGCTATTGACGTGCTAATCACTTAAATGGAGCACTCTTTGGTACGTAGAGGGCAGAAAATCGAAAAAGCGGATTAAATCGAAGTGGTAAAGGGGAGTGTATTAGCAAAGTACGCGTTGCTAGTAGCAGCCCCGTCAGTAGAAAACCTGACTTGTTTTTCCAAGGAAATCAACTAAAATATCATTTTTTACACTGCACTCTGCTGGTGTGAATATAAGTCATTCGAAGAGAGTCGTCTCATCGGTTGTACCTATCAATTCTTCCTCTAGTTTAAGTAGGAGCATTATGGTACTCTAAAAAAAAAATTCGAAAATGTGTCAGATGCCGAACAAAAGCGGAAATTAGTCATATTCCTGGTCAGTGGTTTTAAATTAAGACAATTCGTATTGGCACAAGTGAGTATTTGTTATCCCCTTTAACTAAACGGCGTAATTGACACAATGACGTAGTTTTAATTCCGAATTCCCGTAGGGATGTGGCAATGCGTTTGTAGCTTGGTGATGAAAATCATAACGCAATGTGAGGTGGAGGAGACGGCATTCAATCGATGGGTGTAGACTTGTTGGTCGTTTAGAGCACAACTTTTGTCTAAGGATATTTCGGTGGTGGAAGCACAACTCGGACAGACATGATCACGCTGCATTGTGATTTGAACGTTTAGCGAAAGGTACCACTGCTGATTGACTGCAGATTGATCAACACGAAGCCGAAGAACGCCGAGTTGGTGAGATAGAATGCAGTCTGGGGAAGAACGAACATTCGAAAATCCAAGCAGAATAACACCGCATTGTTATCGATCAATAAAGGTGCCCTAAAAGTCAATAGCGATCACAGCAAGAAGTAATGGAGCAGATCGAATAAAGGAATACACACTACGGTCTGAAAATTGTGAATATAAATAGACATACTCTTGGACATTGGGTGTTGTAAACGAGAATGCAGAGGTTGAACATATTTAATAAAGGATCAGGTGAAAGTGAATTACCTTTATAGAAAACACTCTAGTGACGAAAAAGTTTACTAAGCATTTCCGCTAAAATCGACTTCTAGTTTCCAGCGTGGAATTTCGTATCATGGAGCAATCATCGTGGATTTCGCCATATTTTTACACGTGATTCCTTACAACTCAACACGAACCCATGCGACATTTCTTTCTATGCTGAAATAAATTTACACAAACAAGTTAACATGAGAAATGAAGCTATTTACGAATTAAGCCATTTAATGTGGCATACGTTACCGAATTGGTATAAATTAGTAAACTGTTAGTTCATTCATTTAAAATGAAAACAAATTGTGTCGAGAAAATTGCGTATTTTCTATTTCCTTAAAGTCCACTACAAGCACAAATAACGGGGCTAATGACGCATTTCTTAATCCGAATTCCCGCTGAAATGTGGTGATGCATTAGTGACGGAAACAGTCAAGACATGAGAGCATACAGGCAACAGAAAATGCTTTGAAAACAACGAACTTTCGGCGGAAGTTAGACATCAAATAAAACCGTTTATCAGAAAAAAATATGGGTAGGTTTGCTGATTTGACTGATTGAATTCGCGAAATTTGTTAATAGGCGAATAAGGTCAATTTTTCGACGAGAATATCCAAAAGCATGTAGCATAGCTGATGTCTTTATTTCAGCACCATGAAAGTTAAATTATTCCGGATGGCTAACAGATATGAAGAACGACAAATTTTGGTCTTTTAACGGCTGTCCTAACAGTGTCTGCTTCGGGTTTTGTATCAGGGATTCCTGGAATGCTGGTACTTCGAGACTTCGCCCCTACTCACACACAGACCACGTGGGTACTTGATAACTCATCACTCTATTCAAACAATTGGTTTGGTGCAGACGTCTGGAGTTAAGGTCATTCGAATCCCACCCTGCAAATCAGATCTCAATGCAATTAAAAATGCGCCGAGAACTTTATGGAACAACTTTTCTGACTATGGTCATTTGCCATTAATAAGGACGGAAAAACGACACTATTCTTCCTGCCTTTCTTTTACAAATAGGACTCCATCCTATTCAGAACACTGGAAATTTTTTATACTTCATTTCTAAGTAATGAACGGGAATGCGAGCATGCCCGATAACATTGTGCATTCTTAAAATAAATAATTTCCTATATAAATTCACTTAGAAATAACAAAAGAAACTAGCATAAACAGAATAACAGCAATCGAAAAAATGATATTTTTGTTAATTTCCTCATTTTTCTGGAAATAGAAATCAGGTTTTCTGCTTCGCCAGTTTGTTCTATTTCACTAGGCGAGAATTGGAGCTCTGGGGTTAGAAAGACTATGAATCGACAATGGAACTCATGAGGGTGCAAACTAGCAATTTCAGCATTTAACCAACGAAAAAACGGCATGATTCCGATGAAGGAACACAACGAAGGCCAGCCTGATTTCATTGATGGAGGCCCGCGTTTCCGCGCTTTAACGAAAACCGTGACGTCTGAAGTGGTGTGACGAGACTAAATAAGATCTCATTAGTTAGTCTGAGACGGTGTCGCACACCAGCTGTGGAGTCTGACGCCAAGATATTCATATTCCAGAAACGAGGAGAGCGCCATGCTCCCCTAGTCAATGCCAGTCACAACGGTTTGGGATGCGGTTCCTTCACAGCAAATCACACAAACCTAGATCGTGACTCCTGAAACCTCATAGCATTGTGCTGGTGTGAATCGAAGCGAGTCAAAGAGATTAGTCCCATCGATTGTATCATCAAGTCTTCCTCTACCTTGAGTAGCAGCATTATGATGCTTTTTAAAGAATACAGAAATGTTTGGATCCCATTGTTGAAGGAAAGGGGGTCCAACATGTGCTAACACGGAAGGTTGGTTTTCGTACATCCCCTCAGCGGAACATTCTGTGTGAAATTGGACAATGGATCTTTGGTGGTCGATGGTTATAGGGTCAAGCCCTTGCCATCAGAGAACCAATATAGGTACCAACAAAAAATCGATAAATTTGAAGTAATCAGGCGGTCTCCTCAACATGTGCACACGGCTACCAAGGGTGCGTGAACAAATTGTGTGTTAACTGAAGAAAAATGTGTTTGCAGACAAATGATGAGCCAAAAGGCTACACCCTGAGTCGAGACTTGTGTGAGCTCAGAGGGAGGTGGGCAGTCTCCACCCCCACGGGAATCACGTGGTCAGCTTTTGTTGCACTACTGGGTGCATGCGCACCTAACTACCTACCTGCTGGCTTGGGTGTTTGAACCACAAAGGGCTTGGATTTTACTCTCGCTCAAAACGAGTGGTGGTAGTGGGATTGAACAGCGCGTTGTGTGTACAGGTGTTACTTCCCTTATGTCATGTACTTACAAGATAAAATGTTGCTGAGCACTTTCACATAATTTAACTCCCCTGAATAGCACGGTTCCGAAATCGCGTGTAGGTAGATGTAGGTACCAAGGGGAAGTCGTATTTGTTTTTATTAAGCTTTGGGTGGCCATTAACGAAATTGTGCTTGAGCTTGCCACCTCTGTGGATGAATTATGGTGGCCGTACTCATTCAAAACACACCTGGCTAAATATCGAAAGTTGTCGGGCTGCTTGGTCACTGCTCAGAGTCCATGAAAATGCAGTGTTGCTTGTAACCATGTTCCCCCCCTGAAAGACACTTAATGTGGACAAACATGAACTAGTCTCAGGTACCTCATGTGTCGAATACTTGGAGGACGTTGTTGGGCTCACGCCGTTTGGCAGAGGCACTCGGAAATGCTTTGGAAGAAGATGCTTGCGAATGGAAATTACGTGAAACCAGATTAAGTCCAATGAAAGTGCGTGGAGTAGAAAAGGACTCGATAAATAAAACAGAGATTACGTTTACACTCCAACGCTAGGTAAACTTGACGAAATGATCAAAGTATGTGAAAACTCGGTGATTATAAGTTGGTGGATAATAAACCGTAATAAAACACAATGGAATTGTTGTTCAAAGGTCAAATTTTTCCTGTATTTCACTACTGGCCTAGAGATTGAAAAAATACTAATAACTTATGTCCTTTGACGTGACGTTCGTCAGTTTCAGGGGGACTAAACCTATCCTCAGTGCCTGTAGCTAGAAAAATTTCATCTGATGCCCTTGATAACTGCTGAGACAAGACACCAGTCTTTTAGTTCAAATCAGTTGCTGTCGCTGTTGCCTGGCGTTTTCGTTCCTCAAAATGGTATCCGGAGAAAATTCAGGCTTATGTCCTGGCGACTAAAATGGTTTTACCCAATCAGATTGTCACTTGACTCATCGGGTAGCAGTGGATATAAATGATTTACTAGCGTCTAACTATGCCGTCGATTTAACCGGCAGACAAGTTTAAATAAAGAATTGTTAGTTCACTCAGCGCTTATGCAAAATGGAACAGTCGGTTTTCCGGTCACCCACGTCGTCGTCTTGGTAGTCTGTATTTAGGAATCCCGGAAAGGTATTGTGATCACGTTCGAGTTAAAGTATGAGCATTAAACCTCTATCCAATAGTATTTTTCACTGCGGGTAACCGTGCAAATGACAAAGAAATTGAACCAAAATCGCTTCCGTAAATGTTGTTTTAGTTGCCCTATTTTTAGCGCTTACACGTGTTTTTGGATTTTGGACTACGTGGGGCTTTAAAACAGGCGTTGAACTTTGCGTCATCCTCTCTGGAATTTTTATGGCTTGGGTTATATTTCTCAGAAAAAGTTGAT